TGTAACATAGTGTAAGTAACTACTTAGTAGTAATAAAAAAAAAACTAATATTATTAAAATAAAAAAATTAATTAAACTTAAAAATAAATTGTAACAATTAAGTGATGCGGACAACCGCATTATTTTATATATATGGAGTAACAGGTTCTTCGCCGCGCCCCGCCACCCGGCCGCGCGACGAGCCGGCGCGAGCGCAAGCGAGACGACATTCCGCTGCCAAACCTCTTGAGGCACGGACGCTGTCGCTTTGATAAATAGCATACTTACCGTCATTGCGAATTATAAAGCCATAAATAATTATAAAATATTTTGAGACTGGATTGCTTATCCATACTACTAAACTAAATTAAGTACCTGTAAGTGATTGTGATTCCCAAACTTGGGTAAGTTGTGCACAATTTTATATAAAGAATTTTAACGGCCATTACCTACCTTTTTTTATATTCGTTGCGTTAATCTTAAGGTACGGGCCTGTCTAACTATCGTAGCTTATTAATTTCTATCCTTGTGTAATGTTTTGCTTTTCCTTCACTATGTTCTTATTATATGCTTGTAACCGCCTCTGCTAGCGACCATTACCTACAGTGTCGATTAAGAATCACGCCTGGAATTCTTCCCGCCTTGTAAGCCCTAATTTTCCAATGTAGTTCTTGCCATGCATACCTAGCGTTTCCCGTGCACCCCTTATACCGGCAGCTTACTGATGTGGCCCTTGTCACCAGGAATTACGTCACGGTTTCAATAACCGAACCGGACAACGAACCTGTCACAGCACCTGAGTGGAGTGGCGTCACAGCACCTGAGTGGAGTGGCCGAGCTGACGGAACTACGCCTGGAGGACGGGAGCTCGCCAGGGAAGTGTGGAGAACTAAGCAAGTGCTAAAGACCTAGGCAGACCCTTCAATTTTTTTAATATACCCACATACTTTATTAATTCTAAACCTAGTTTTATTTCTCTCTTGTACACGTCTTATAAACGTGACAGTGCGACAGACAGACAAACAAACATGTTGTGATTAGCAGTCACAATACATGTCGACGTAACACTTCAATTATGACTTGTAAACACTCACATGTCGTGTGTTATTATACACATATATATATGTATGTGTGTAGTGTGTTATTATATTAAGTTGGATAACTATCTGCGTTCATGTCCCGTTCGAGTTCACCGTTACAGCAAAAACTTATTGATCAAGTATTGATTAGAGATTGTACAGGGTGCAACCGAGTTTGTGAGCGTTGTGAATCATGTTTCTAATCGACACTAGAGTTACTGAGACACATAAAAAATAAATAAAACCGGAAACGTTATTAAATAAAAACCTATATCTTAATCTTTTGTCGCGGAGAACCTAACGGGTAACCGGGGCTCCGGCTCGACGTGCAGGAGAAGGAACGGGGTGGTTTTTAGTCAGTAAGAGTCTGACACTCCCTCCCGCCTCACCCAGGCGGGAGCAGTCATTCGATGATTTTCCCCCCTTAAAAAAAAAAAATCTTAATCTTTTAAGCGGCTGGGACATCATTTGGCAGCGGGTCGCTAAGTACAATTAGTTTAAAAAAATAGTCACAAATCATTGACAAATATATTAACTCGTCGAGTACCGGTTTTGTAGACACAATTATAGAACAATAGGTTGCGGTCACCGGTGTCCTCGTGGTGTTTGACAGTTTAATGAAAACTTTTTTTCAGTGATACCATAACATTACATCACGCCTTTTATCAGGTAGGCAGAGGTGCACACTACGGCTCTTAATGCCACTGTACAATGTAACACCCTGACTATTTACTATTTACGCTATGAGTCCCATGTAATAGGGGGTGAGGCTATTGCCATATACCTTACACATATCCAGACTCGATGCTACTACTGAGATTTATTTAAAAAAACCCAGCAATACTTTGCCCGACCCGGGAATGGAACCCGAGACCCCTTGCCCGACCTCTCGGCCAGCGAGGCAGATTTTCAATGAACTAGATAGTTAATTATTATATTTTCGTCTTACTCACGTAATTGTTTGACGAGGAACTTGACTAGTTTCAAGCCATGCTAGAGGCTCATATTCTAGTAGCAGCGCGACAGTCACCGCGTCGTGTATCGCGGAATGTTCATGAATATGAACCTCTAGCATAGCTTGAAACATAATAATTAATATAGTACGTCTCTTAGATAGTTGTCATTAATGATCGAAACCACGAATACAATTCTATTGCACCCTGTACATCTATCTATAATAGTATAGACGTACACGATTATAGAATCGTGTTGGTCCATCGATCAGGTTGTGAGCTACAGGTTGTTTGAAGAGTAGAAGTTGAAGCTAATCTAGTTCCGCTGTGTCATTGTTTGCTGAACTATTTAATTGACTTGTTTAATATTCATCGTTTTATTGGCAATGTACTGTTTTATGCCAGTTGTTAAAGATTTGAATAGATTACTGCTAACTGTTCAGTGATTAATGGTTATTGTAAATAATTTTATGCACAAGTAAAACTATTGTAGAAACTAGAAAAGCTGAGCAAACTACGAGGTAGCTAATGCCTGGGTATGCCACTAACGCTAGGCAAGAGAGGAACGGCAACATCACCGTCCTGAGGAGTGCTGACTTGGTGTACTGACTGAAGATATGCGTGGAAACGGTCTTACCATAAAGGATGTGAAAGACCACGCGAAATAGAAAGCAAGAAGAAGGAAAGTGGACCCCGGACCCCGAAGTTACGCTTAGAAATGAAGATGGCCACGGTTCAAGTTAGGAACAACTAGTAAAATCAACAAGAAAAGAATTAATGAAATCGGTTCTGCCATTCACGCGTGATGCCGTGATCAAGGAAAAAGGGATTAATTTTAATTATTTATATTTATTTATTTATTCAGACGACAGATTGAAATCGTACACTACAATCTTAATTATAAATAGTGAGCGAACCTGAAGTCCAATTACAACTGTACATGATCCATTTATATCAAATTACATAAACAATTCCCAAATGTTAATCCATTTTACTGTAATAAATTTCGTTCAATTTTTGAAAACTAAAAATTACTAAAAAGCGGCCATACTAGAAATCAAAGGTAACAAAAGGTACAAAGGGAACAACTGAATGAATGATATGTAATAGATAGATACATTAAGTAAGAAGTAAGCTGAGATACTCTTTCATATAAGCCTGTCACAGTCACAGTGTATCTCGCCTACAATAATTATGATTGGATTATGACGGCGTTAGTTCTCGATGATTTGTTTACGACCTGACAACATTTACGACATTATAAGAATTATTTATTGACAATTAAATGTTCCAACTTGGATTGGATGCCATCTTTGATAACATCATCTACATATTGGAGCGGAACCGGAGTTGGTTAGACATGTCGTATTAATATGTGGCAACTCTGTTACAATGATATTCATTTTAGATTATAATTATGATGTCGGTTGTATCTCGAAAGAAAATGGAGAGCTTTTTATGGAATTGAAGGCAAACAAGCCGACGGATCACTTGATGGTAAGCGATCAACGCCGACCATGGATATCTTCAACAGAGGAGCCACAGGCTGGACTTTTAAAAAGAAATACACTCCTTTCTTAAAGGTTTGAAGGCCATATCGGTTCAGAAGTATCGTCGACGACAGATCATTCGACAATTTACTAGGCAAGGCAGAAAGCATCGGGAAAAGCGCACAGTTTTGGCCTGCCAACCATCTTCACAGAGCACAGACACTTTTTAGCAGTTGTGTCACTTATGATATTGTGAGACTAGTTCTTAGCTTGCTGGAAGTGTGCAATAAAGGTCTCGTAGTTAACGCATGGTTGCATACAGATAGATTCATCTCTTTTGGACCAAATTGTGCCTGTCAACCGACTATTGACTGCGAATATTTCTCATTACTATAAGCCCCGCTGTGTCTTGAAACCAGTAGATCTTTCTCCTATAGTTCACTAGAGTACCCGGTCATATCAAGAATCATTAGATTTGAATACTCATCATTTGATTCCAACTTTAAACAGTTACCTCGAGGATCCTACGATCAGTACGCTAGTAACTAGACCAGTTTGGTAGAATATTGTATTTACTAACAAAATGTTAAGTATCCAATAACAAAACACATCGCATTATCTCCATGAAATAACGTAGTATCATGTATCCTGTGTCCCTGTTCTCACCTACCAGGGTCGCAGACTACATGAGCAGGTGTCTCCTTACACTACATGCATTGTACACACTGTCGCCCGCAGCAGACTTCTGGACTGGGCGGGCGAACCCGATAGGGTTCTGGAGGCGGCGGGCTGTGTTCTCATGGCCCGCGCTTCCGTGGGGCGTTTCTCCGCCTGTCTCTCTGATTAGCAGAGAGCGTGGCGGAGAGGCAAGGGCGGTGCTCGTTGTGCACTCACCCTGCCAGCGAGCAGCATCGGGACACAAGCTGTCCCCGATTGCAGCCGTCGATATCGTAATCCGTAAGGAGGTCACGGTCATGTTTTGTGACTCTGAACGGGACGAGGGTCTTGGCTTGGTCGCCCGGACCGCGAGGAAGATAACCTCTATAAAAAA